TAATTGTAAGGCGTGTGTGTGTGCGCGGATACAAAATTTCGTCGACGATTTCGGGAACACCGGTCAACCGATTTGAATAATTCAAAAAGCATTTGATTCGTATTGATAAGAGACGTGCTGATTACTTTTTGGCGATGGCAGGTGTAGCCGTTTTGAAGATACGGGCCAAAAACGGTAACACAGTTTTTAAGAGAGCGGAGCGTCTGATTTTAATAATTCAAAAAACATTTTACTTGTATTGACAAGATGAAGAACTCATTAAATTTTCGGGAAGGCAGGTCTATCGGATTTTCAATAAAAATAAGTTTAAAAAAATGTCATTTGGCGGTCAAAAATGTTTATGTTCATCAAATTATTAGATATTTTATAGAGATTTTAATAATGTGTACACATTTTGTGTAATTTTGTTTGGGTTCTGAGCAAAAATTTTTAATTACGGTGTGGGAAGTTCTAGCAATTTGCCTTAAGGCACGATGCCATGCACCCTACTAGTTGTAATATAGTTTGAATAATGTAAGTAGCAATGTATTTGAGATAAGTTACCTATGCACATATATGCACACCTACACATAAGTCATTAAAAACAAATAATAACTTAATCGCGACTTTAAAAGAATGAGTATTATCAGTTTTGATTTCTCATAAGACAAACAGGATATGATGATATTCATAATTATTTGATTTTCATATTTCATCACATTTACAAATACCCAGAAGAAACAAAAATACTAATATTTTTCTTCATATCCTTTTGAGTTCATCCCTTTTCTGATGCTTCATAACGAGTGAATAAAATCACTCTGACAATAATACAACTATTTATTTGCATCTACCTCTTTTATACCCCTTTTAATTCAATTTATATGTTCTTTTTTTGAAATACGGGTTTATAATGTTTTAGTAATTTCCTGTAATTATTATATGACTATCTGTGGTACTGCAATTTACGATATGTTTATTTCTACTTTTGTCACGATAATTTCCTCGCGTTTAAAAAATTTTATTTACCTATTTTATAATATAATGATTGCTTACTTTGGTAGTGTTATTTCTTTCCATTCTTCTTCTGTGTAGTTGTAATTCGTTCTTCCTGGTACGTGACACCAATGTTCGGGTATGGTCATGGCCAAAATCATGTTCATGCAGGGCATAACTGCCAATAAAGCAAATGCGACATTGTACATGTAATTGAAGCGTCTTTGAAATGGACCATCATTTCCTACCGACTCCAGAACCGTATCAAACGCTGCATCTTTTTTGCCCATTTTAATAAGTTAACCTAGAATAAATAAGCTTATTATTTAGTTTGGTACTACCAACTTTATAAATAAGTGTGAAGTATTAATTTTATCTAAAAAATTAGATAAAATACTTTGTATTTGTGAAAGTCTATGTTTTGGTGTATTTTTTAATTAGTGAGGTTATGTGTGGCTAATTCCTGTTTTTCGTACTATTTCTCAGGACGATTTCTTTTTTGTAATATACCTCTGGTAACATTTATGTGATTTGATTATCATTATAATAATTATGTGATACAAATTCTTAATATGTTTATAAACTACTTATTGAAATATTTTCTTGATTATGTATGTATAATTTTTTGTCCTATTAGCCAAAGAGTTTAAACTAATTCCTCAATTTTTTCTTATATGCCTTGCTACTCCTTAGGCATAATATTGAATAATACAATAGTCATAAATATAATTTTTATTTGATAAATTTTGTTGGTCCTCAAAATTTCACACTGCAAATTGCTCTTATGCACGGCAAATCAAAAACAATAAAATATAAATGCATCTTATGCAAGTGCAGCATGTTTGAAATATATTTTTAATATTTAATACATTATAAAATAATACGCAGCTTAACAAAATATTTTTTCATAAAATCCAAAAATTTCATATTTATTGAAATTGATAATCTATCATACAAATATTACTGACTTCAAATATTTAATCGAAACACTATGTAATGATAAAGTTACGAGAGAATAGCAAAATATTAATATAAGCTATAATGATTTTGATTAGTTTTTATAGTCTTTTAAAACGGAGTCACAAATATTTTATTTTATCTCTTAACTTTTTCATCAGAACACGATTTGCACATTACTTTGATTATTAATTTTATTTTTTTTGATTTAGCGCTAAACCGTTTTTAAGATAAGTTTCATTTTGGATACAACACTAATATAAAGCTATTTTTAACATATAGTAAAACTATTTTTTCATACTTATTCAAATTATGCACATTAATATTGTAATTTTATTTTTCGTATTAAGGTTATTCTACTCTAATACACCAATTCGCTGTAAACGCCCATAAAATTGAGGATAATTTTGTTTATTAAATTTAATTATAAATCACTACTTATATAATTACCTAAAATCACATACAATATAACTCTTAATATTTCAAGTATTTTTTCACATAATGTTTTACTATAGTATTAGAAAATATGCCCACAGACTCCTACATATTCAGTTTCAACGGTTATTTTTCGAACATGTGGCTCGCAAGTTTTTCGCAGTGCGCACATGGAGAACAATGACTGAACTAATTCAGGCTTTCAATCTCTTAATACAATGAGTGCTCTCAAACAGTCGGTTGATAAGAAAAGATAGCAATAAATAGCAGAAATCTTATTTTATATTTTTTAATTATTGTTTGTTTCCATCATAGAAATGATTATTATCATATTTGATTTGTAGAATTTACTCTAAATCTCTTGGTTGTTTGGTTTGCGCTATTAGTTTACTCTGAGCTTAAAATTTTAACGTATTACGCAGCAAATTTCTTTATATATATATATATATATATATATATATAATAGTAATTTTTTGACTAGAGATATTATGTTTTTTTTTAAATTAATCAATCAATTTCTACATGGATTCAACGCCTATTATGTACATCACTTTACATGTACAGACTGTAGCATTTCTCAAACATTTACAATTTTTCTTTTTTTTTGTCTTTGCTCAAAAATGGTAATTACTTACAAAAATAAGGTGAAGTTATTGTTTTATATATAAATTCTTCGTATGTATCTAGATGAGTCAAATCAGAATTCGAACCAAATATTATATTAATTATAGTTACATCGAAATGATCTAACTTTATTTTATTTACTAATTACATTGATACTTGATTTTTTGTACTAGTGCAAGTGCAAGTGCAAGTATTAATGCTATATTTCATGTATACTAGACTTGGACATTTCTTCTGGCTTTGGTTTTTTTTGACCTTGCTTTTTCTTTTACATTTTTAAGGTAGTTATTTTAAGCTAGACCGCATTTTTACCACTAAGCCATGACCAGCTCTAATGTTTAAATATTAGTCACGATTCAATTTTGTGAGAACTATTCATTTATTTAGTGTTTCCCCAAGAACAAATGTAGAAGTTGAAAAATCATCAAAAGGTATCCAGGTACTCATAAAAACGAATATGCTGATACCTATTTGTTTAACAGAAGTTAAGTATGTATCAAATATTTTGTTGAAAACTTCTACTTAAACATTGAGTATATAAGCTAATATAATTAGAAACTAATTTTCGAGTAATAGCTTGAAACTGCTTTCCAACCACCTAAGTAAATAATCCACTATATTAAAATATTTGAACTAAGCGATTCATTATCTTATATCTATCAGATTTTATAGAGCAAACTCTTATTGTTTAGCTACTACTAGATTTTTACGATGGAAAAATATAAAATTGTTATATCATATAATGTTTCAAAAAACAACAATATAAAAGCAATTAGTTTTTTATAAGCCTGCCAAGCGGTCAGGCAAATATATGCACAAGGCATTGGGACCAAGGCTGTTTTGCCATGGTTTTGATTTACATGCCAATCGCAAATGTAAAATCTTCATGCTAAATATTCAAACACAAAATTCAAGAATTCCATAAAATTCAAGAATACATTAAAAAAAAATTCATAATTGCATAATTCATAATTCGTAATTTCTTGATATCTGCCTTAATTGGTCATAGAATCTGAATCTTAGGGTTTCAAAGCCTAAGCTTTTACTATAAAACCAACTATGAAGCCCAACTTAGCTTAGAAATGCAAAAAGCTTCGATAAATAATCTAGCATCCACGTAATTTGAAAATAAAATTAAGTTTTTCCGGGTATAGTATATTTCGCGCAAACTATTTGCTTACTTTCTCTTTCTACATCATATTGTTTACTTTTGTTGCATCATTACCACCCATGCTTTGTAAAATATATGTTTTTAGTTTATGTTCAGTAGATAATATTTATGTACATTTAATTTATATCGCTGATAATTATTCCACTCTGGGTTATTTAATTGTTTAATGGTCATTTTGATTATTTATTTCAATTATCTCAATATTAAACGATTATTGTTTAATTATTTTCATATCAGTAATGTTTACTGGCCTTGTGTATCTTTGAACCATAAATCTACTGTTAGAGTATAATTTATTCATACAGATAAAAATTGTCTCGTCATCTTACAATTAGATTAAGATGAAGATGTGACGCTACTAGACTGTTTATATAAAATTGGTGCAAGGAATTAACATCGATATTCGGTAAATACGTATGAGTTTTGAAGATTTAAATAAAGTTATTTCAGATATAATTATAGCTTACAGTTTGAACCTAGAGACTTTTTTATTGTAAGTTTACTCTTGAGGTAATTTACCATTCCACCTTATTTGTGGTTTCAAAAAATTTCCATCCAACTTATATTTTTGGTATTTATGTGTAAATGATGACCGTATGGGTTATTATGTACTGTAAAGGATCCTATCCTATAAATAGATTTTTTATATACATAGTTCTTATCTCACAATATCTTTTGTTGAAGTTTTTCGTTTTGAATATCATTTTTTAATACAGTCGTGATGATAAACTTATTACTGGGCATAGGATACTGCAAAATATATTTTTAAACAACAACTTTACTCATATCCAAATAATCATTACCAAGCTATTTATTATAAATTATAAATAATTATTAATTATAAATCTGTTGTACATTCATTTCTAATATTGTTTTTTTGAGGCAAGCTCCAAAACTTTTGATTTTTGCCGAATTCTTTAGCTTCTACAAGAGTTTCTGGCAATTTTGCATTTAAAGTCTCGGGTAAGAACATTGAAGAAACAGCCGCTAATAATAGTACTACAGCTAAAATTGCATATGGATATCGCTTATCAATTGAAGTACCCTGTAAAAATACCAAAATTATCAAAATATTCCTCAATTATTAATTGATTTTGTTTCATACCAAGTAAACTATGTATGGCCCTAGTACACCCACAGCGTTGGATACAATAGTTCCAATAGATATACCAGTTTGTCTTATACAAGTCGGGTATATTTCCATCGATTGTAAACAAACTACGTAGAAATTTATACTGATGCAGAATCTTATCACTACTGGAAGAATTGTCTCAAGTACTTGCAACTTCTCATCTGTTAATGATATTTGAGATACACAAACCACTTTAAAATCGATTAAGGTATTTCATTTTTGTTATATATAATATTAGTTATTCCCAATATACATTTTTTACCATTTACTATAAAAAATAGTGCGGTAGCGGCTATCATTCCGAGAGCAAAAGAAGATGAGGCAGTCAATCGCCTTCCTAATTTATCACACGACAGTCGTGCTAATAAATACGCTGGTAATTCCACAGCAGACTGATATAAAAAATTCAAAAATGGATTACCATCGGTATTGGTAATATTTAACATCAAAGCAAAGTAGCATAAGCCGCAGACAATCCTGGGAAACAAAAAGTTATTAAGTACTTCATACTATGTATATAAACAAAATTACTTCGGGAGAGTTAGTGGTTTCTTTTATCCGATAATGCTATTGGCTACTTGAATGTTATTGTTATCTATCATGTTATATATTTTTTAACTACAACAGTAAGTACGTTGTGCTACTATACTTCGATATTTTGTAATACAAAATCTTCAATGATTTTGAACGAGTTGATTGCAATAATGTTCGTGATTCAAATATAATTGCTCATGTCGTTTGAAAAATATTAGTTTTAATTATCTATCGAAGAAAAAATCAGCGTGCTCATGTTACAGATGTTACAGATCTAATAAAATGATATTGGAACTAATTTTTCCCAATCACTTTTATAAAGTCATAATACCATTCGAGAATAAACCAGTTGAGTCCTTTTGTGTGACTGAGAAACATAAGTTAAATAGAGATTGAATAGGGCATTTAGTTGTAAAACCAGTCACTTTCTTTTAGTATTTATTCTGGTATTTGTATGTATATTTATTATACTAGTAGGTATTATTATACCTACCAGCATATCACTATTAAAATAGTGCTTAATGCAAGCCTAAAACTGGAAAATAAGCTTAGAATCCCATAAACTTTTTCAGGCGTAAATGACATTCCTTTCATTTCTTGTAACGCATCTTTATCCAAAGCCATTCCATTTATATCAGCAATCCTTTTCAGCATTTTTTCACATTTTTCAAATTTGCATCGGCTCAGAAGCCATCTTGGCGATTCGATCATGTATCTAGTAATATTTAGATATAAGTTAAATTAGAATTAATTGTATAAGGAATATTCTTTATAAAGAAGAATACTTGTTTGGAATTAGGAAAACAATAGCTGGTAACGTAGTTATTAACCCGAAGATAAACCAATCTCTTGTAGCCCACATAAGAAGAGGTAATATTATCAATCCACTGGTCCAACCGATGCATTGAGACATTTGAATATGTGATCTATCATCACTAAAAAAATCATAAAATTCTTAGTTTTATCGGTAAAGCAGGTGACACTAATTTATGCACTAGGGTCTTTATCATATTTTATGAATAATTAAATAATTCAATTAAATAATTTCTTAAACAACTTTTTTTACCTTTTCGTGGTTTCCATTCCAATTATAAGAGTACTTTGCATAATAGACGGCGTAGCAAATGCTCCAAAGCCGACAGCGCTAACGAAAACTGGATACCAGTTTGTGGTAAAAATTGTTAACAATCGTCCACTTATCGCTACCAATAAACTCATATAGAACACGATTCTCCGGCCAATTCTTAAGAAAAAATTATACCAGAATTTAATTAAGATATAATTTAATTAACATTAATAAAAGGTGAACCACAGGGTTTTCCTTTTATAATTCTATGTTATTTGTCAAACTAATTATTCAATATCTTTTTATTTAGACAGATTGTGATTTATAAGAAAAAAAAATCTAAAAAATTTTTATTAAATTATATTACGAATGCAATACAAGTATAATTTCTTGGTAAATATTCTCTAGTGCAATATTTTTCTATAAACTCTATCGAATTATTTTATTTTATGATTAGTTAACACTATAATTTTAATATACCTGTCTCCCAACTGGCCAAAAATAAATGTTCCAATAACTTCTCCAACTCTGATCATTGCGAATACATTTGTACCGTATAGTAGTTTATCACAAACCCAATCGTGATCTGAAGGTATTGTTGACAGATACCAGGTCTTGTCATACTCGTAACCATATTGACAAGCTAAAATAAATAAAAATGAAGCAAAATGATGTAGTTTCTTTATTAGTCTAAACTCTAAATTCAGGGTAATAGCTTTTTGGATTTTCTTGTACAGCATTTCAAATTCTTCAGGAGTCAAGACTCCTGTTTCTCTAAATTTAGATTCCTTTAAAATAGGTGTCAAATATTCGGCGACTTCCAAAGCGGTTCTTTTAACAGAATTAATAACGTTCTGCATGGCGTCTTCTTGGAAATATTTTTGATTTATAAATAATCAATACTTGTTCCTTGGGTTATATTCAGAACATTATTAATAACAAGAATTATTCTTTTTTTCGCATTGACTCAGTTTAGACATGCTTATGATTATTACCAAATGCCAAGATTTTTTTAATACAATAGATTGAAAAGTAACAATGATTCAAAAAATTTTTTTTTTCAAAAATACGAAAAATACTCACGTATAATATGTCGAATCTGTGGTTCGACAATTTCTCGATTAGTGTCATTATACATTTGGCATGAGCTTGATTTTTTGTCGTAGCTAAAATAGAATAATTATGTATGAAAATAACAAAACTTAATTATCAATTTTAATTTGATAATATAGAGTTCTGATGATTACTTATTTAAGCATTTTGGTATTTAAGTATGAATTAAAAAGGAACTTAAAAGCCACTCTTAAATTAAGAGGGTCTGTAACTTTTAATTAAAGCTTATATATTTTTTTGAAGATTCTACATTGAAATTCTGAAATTTTTTCAATTATAGTAAAGAATTTGCAATGTTTTGATCTCCAAGTCCTAAATTTTTTGATCAATTTGTTGAATATAAAATAAATGAAATACTATATTTTATTGCTGCTATTTATGAAGAGTAGGATAATAAGATTTCTTATTGAATTTATCACAATCACTCATATTCAATTATTGAAAAAATATTTTTCTGTTAAAACTTAAGTTTTTATTACAAAAATGTATCTGGCTCGTTCAATATTTAATTTGAACAAGTTTGTTACACACTTTTTTCATTAATTATATTTCTTTAAAATCAAACAAATCTTCGCGTTGTTATTAGTAGTAATAATATTCTAAATAAACATTTTTATATCACATATTTATTGCAGTGTTATTAAAATACTTTGGTATAGTCAGAAATCTCCACTCATCAAGTGTGTAATTAGTGAATTCTCGTCCTGGTACATGACACCAATGATCTGGAATCGCCATCATCAGAACTATATTTAAATAAATTATACTTGTTATACCAACAAGTATGCAATTGTAAAAGTAATTATATCTCTTCTGAAATACGCCATCGTTTCCTGCCGATTTCAAAACTCGATCAAATATTGTATCCTTTTCCGATTCCATTTTATAAATAGTTTTCCAAATTATATATGGAAAATTTAGAAAAAAGTGACTTATGTTTCAACTACCACTACTTCATTCACATACTTTAAATATCACTTGCAACAAACCATTACTCAATAAAATTATTTTTGTCACTTTCTGGTGTAAATGTATTGTGTTGATAATAAATTTAAAATGTTAGAAATGACATGAAGTAACAATAATCTACGAATGTTTATGAATTATGACCTCGAAAAAGTATTAACAGCATTTTTGCCTCTATAATTTAATTACATTAATATTAATCTTTATTCAAACAAGTAAAACAATGTGACATAGCGTTTTTTTTTATTTGATTGTAATTCCTTGGCATTTTGTTCTAAAAGGTAAAGTTTGTATTTATAGAAATCATATCAGTAAATAGGAAATAAGATTAATTTTAAACTTTATTTCATAAATGTTCAGAATGAAAATAAATAGTCATAACTTTCATAAGGTGAATTTTTGTTTTTGCTTTCTATGGTTATCTCACTGCGTTTTTATAGAGTCGCTATCAATAAATAACACTTCTTTGTTTTGGCTTTTATTTGTAAAGTTCATAAAATATAGTATTATTGTATATTAAGGCGATTTGCTTGGACTTTGCTCATTTAATGTATTTTATTGCAAAACTTATTGTTTTTTTTTAATGCACAAAGACTTGCTACATTAAGGGAACTTTCATACTTAACAAATCGATTTTCAAATAGAATTTTACCACTCTCATGTTGTTTTCTGCCATTTATATTTGGAAGCAATCATTAATATTCTGGATGAGAGTAATGGGGCACCATCTACCATACCACTCTTTTGTTTTTGACAGTTTTTGTCTTTATATATTAATTTTTATTTGTTTTTTCATTATTTTTATTATTATTAGACTAATTTTATATGCAATACGGATTATTACATTAAAATAAAAAATAGGGTACTTATTCTAAAGTATTGATTTCAAATTCACACTATTTGTATTTGAAATAAATATAAAATATAATTTATTAATAAAATATTCTATAATTTTTAAATTCAAACACAAATTGCTATGAATTCAGGCTTAATTATTACTAATTAACTTCCCGTAGGGTAAGTTATTGTAATCGTACAAAAATCGAAATCGAAAATTTTTGCATTTCTCGACGTTTTGAAGGTTTCTGAATATTTTGGCATACTTCAGAAAAAATCGATGTGTGTGTATGTATGTATTGATACAATTTTTCGTCCACGTTTTCGGCCGCACGGATCAACCGATTTGAATGGTTCAAAAAACATTCGATTTCTATCGATAGGGAGATGTTCTGATTAGTTTTTGGCAAAGGCAGGTCCAGCAGTTACGGAGGTAAAGAGCAAAGTGTGCAGAAAATGGAAATCGATTTTTTGAGAGAACGGAGCATCGAGATTTGAATGATCTAAAAAACATTCAATTAGTAATGATTGGGAGAAGTGGCTATTAGTTTTGGCAAAGGCAGGCCTAGCCATTTCGAAGATACAGAGCTAAATGTGCAAATAATGGCAGTTTTTGAGAGAACTATGCGTCCGATTTGAATGATTCAAAGAACTTTCTGCTTATTTCAACAAAATACTTGATTAAAAAAAAAAGTTTTAATAATTGAATTCCCAGATAGAGATCGAGAATCTGATTCTTGTGGTACTATCCATTACATTTGTTCTGCATATCAAAGTGACACGGTATGCTCTTTTTTCTTGAAGACCTAAAACAATTTGTAATTATTATTTAATATTTTTTATTATTTAAATTAATAATATATTTAATTTAATTTAATAATAGCTTCACAAATTCAGCGGTTGGCATTGAAAATCTTCATACTGGTATAAAATCTTTAATAGACAAAAAAAACACTGTCAAATTTTTAAATAGTTAAATGTCTTGGAATTCTGATATCGGTAAATGGTACTGGACATTTATATACTATTAGCCTGTAATCTAGCGGCCAATTTTTTAATCTTACTTGATAAACGACTTTTTCCAAACAATTAAGGGTTTGAAAATGTCTACGATTAGCTTGAAAAGCTACATTCTAGATTTTATCTGGAATATCACATTACTAACATTTTCAAAGTCTAAAGTTTCTTAATTGAGAATTATTTTATCTGCAACATTTTCAAAATGAATTTTTTTCAAGGCTTCCTTGATTTATTTTTCCAGTTTAGTCTTTTTTTTAGATTTCACTGAATGTTTCCTATGTTGTTATTAGCGGAAATACAGAAATTTTTCTTTATAATTCATTATCAGACAATAATATTGCTGCAATAACAAGAATTTATATAAATAGTCTCTACCGATATCTCGTTTTTGAGAAGTCAATGCCACTTTCAATACTGATAAAATTATCATTCTGCAAATGTCTTATTGTAACCTATTTTTATTGACGTATTAAGAAATAATGCGGAAGTTGTATAAAATATAAAACTCGGTTAGTGTATAACGATAATTAAACAATGACATTCTCATCTTGAAGAAACAATAAAAATAATAAATATTTTGATATATACAATGACACAATAATATCACATTTAATACTACACATTTCATTGGCATATTCTTTTAGCACCATTCTAATAATTAATTGTCCAAATTTGGTAATATTGGTTACAATCACAACTTAATTTTTTTTTATTTCTTTGCCTTTTGCAAAGATTGCTGCAACTGCTCAGCTGGTTTTTTAGGCATGTGCCAAAACTTTTGATCTCGTCCAAAACTTTGAGCTTCCGCTAATGTTTCAGGAAGTTTATGATGTAGGGTTTCTGGGAGCATCAACTCAGCACCAAAACCAAGCAACATTAGCAACACCAGAATTAGATAAGGATATCGTATATCATAGGCAGTTCCCTAAAAATGACACCAAAATTATAATCCAATTTAATAAAATCCTACTGTGTGCAAATTTGTGATCTTCACCAAAATTCAGGATTTTTTTTAAATATTGAATCTTATTTCATAAAAATATAGTGTCTAGCAAAACTTGAAAATAGAAGTTTGTTCATGATCTCATATAAATTTTATTTATCTTGAATTATAAAATATTTTACTTACTAAGTAGACAACATAGGGTCCCAGGATACCAAAGGCATTGCCCAAAATCACTCCTAAGGCAATACCCGTTTGTCTCAAACACGTTGGAAATATTTCAACGCCTTGAATCATCATAACGAAGAAAGACACACTTATACAAAATCTTATTATTACTGTCAGAGTTGAGGTATACACATGTAGAGAAGGATCTGTGAATTTAAACACAAATATTTTGTAAATATTGCATTTTGTGTGATTGCCGACAGATGCAGATAAAATTTTTATTATTTATATGAAAATAGATGCTTTGATTGATATTGATCCTTAAATATATGCGCCTAGGCTCCAAGATATGGAATATAAGTAAGGTGACCATATTTTTTCAAGTCAAAACCGGGACTGTAATTGTTAGTTATGAGGGGGGGGGGAGGGCGTGAATACTAAAAATTTAATATGATTTCAAAAAAACAAACATTATTTAAGAATTTAATAAAAATCTACCAGCTTTGAAACTTATAACATTTTGTTCAATTTTCTTCATAATTATTTAAAAATAATTAGCATTTAGGTATTCCAGTCAAGAAGTTTATTTTCCTAATTCAGTGATTGGATGTTGAGGTATTTTTCGATATGAATGATGACATTCACGATTGCAATGACAATGCAAAGAACATAGATTAAAATTTTCAGATTTTTCGACTTACCAACCGAAGTAAATAGCAATGGTAGAGATGAAATTGTTGCACAACCAAAAGCTGCTACTGCAGTCCACTTTCTTCCTAAAGTGTTGGTCGTCCATTTACCAAGAAACAACGCTGGCAGTTCTACTATGCCTTGATATAGAAAATTTAGGAATGGATTGCCGTCCATATTAGTCACATTTAGTATCAGCATAAAATGAGCCAAACCACCAATAACCCTGAAATCGAGATTCACTCATTGTAATCAAATCATGTACCAAAATAATTAAATCAATTATTTTTATTATTTTTAACTTATTTTTAAATTGAATTGATTATTACCATAAAGACACCATCATTAGTGTGTTTTTTGCCAATCGAAAGCTTGAAAATAAACTGGCCATGCCATATAATTTTTTCTTGTACGAATTTGTCTTGTTTCAATATTTCTAAAGCATCATCATTTAATGTAGTTTTATTAACTTTTGCAATATTCCGTAACATTTTCTCACAGTCTTCTAATCTTCCCCGGCTAGATAACCAACGAGGCGACTCAATCATATATCTTGAAATAATAATCATCATGATGAAGAAATATGCAGAATTCAGGTTTTTATCAAATGAAAATTATTTTGTATCATTTATACATACTTATTTTTTATAACAAATAATGTTATGGGTAATGAAGATATCAAAACAAAATGAAACCAATTTTGTAACCACCAATAGAGCAATGGCAAGATACTTATTCCTAGAGTCCAACCTATTCCTTGCAGCATGGCAATATGTGGATTATCGTCACTAAATAAAAAAAGGTTTCATGTAAATTTTATTAGCTACGAATAGAAATTTTATTAGGTTCGAATCTATAAGAAAGTTTCTTACATAGATGAAATTTCCATTCCTATAATTAATACAGTTTGGTACATGGCCATAGGAGTAAGAGCAGCAATCAAGTTTCCCAGCATATATAGGTAATACCAGCTTGTCAGAAATAGTTGCATTGTTTTGCCGACGATAAGAATTATCAAACTGATGAAGAATACGGGCTTTCGGCCTATGCTGCATACAAAAATTATGTTAATAAAAGTACATCTAATTCTGAATAATTTTTCAGATTAAATTTCGTTTATTGCGTTCAACAAAGAATGCTTTTAGTTTATCCTTTACACTTTTTACTATCTTGATTTGATTTAGCTCTACAAGGAGTAAAGGACAATATTATAACTTAATATTTAAATTGAAACAAAGTACTAAATCTATTCTCAATTCAGAACATAAATATTGTGAAAATATTTGTCGTTGCCAATATTTTTGTATTGTAACGTCTGAATTGAGCTCATCATTTTCTGTTAGTAGTTATCATTGAATCAATAATTATTTTTTATTTTAGTTTTTATCCAAGTTTGCTATTGAACGTTTACGTAATCCAAAGAGTACTTCACTTTGTGTTTAATATGATTTGATATAGAACTGAAGTGTTTCAGACGTAAGATAAATTCAGTTAACCCAATTAAAATTGAATTTTTATTATTTACACTAATTTTAAAACATAATTATAATTATTTTAATTAATTTTAATTATGTCAATAAAAAATTTGTAAGGCACTATTTTATTTACATTAATTAATAAATTAGTAAAATATTTTCTGGTTTATTGTTTATGCAATGATAGATACTATCTTAACCGAAAACTCTAGTCAAAGGGCAGTGCAACTTTTTTCATATCAAATTTGAATCTGTAATGAAAATTCTAAAATGAGAGCTTTAATTTGCTTTTTGCTATTCATGCCTTATTATAAAATAATTGGTGCACTCACTAATCGCCCATTTGTCCAAAAATCAATGCGCCCAACATATCGCCAATTCTAGCAACCACAAACATGTTGGTGACTCGAAGAGCTTTGTCGCAAACCCAATCTTCTTGAGAAGGTATCGTGAGCTCATACCACCTGGTATCATATTCATAGCCGTAAATGCACTCTTGAAATAAATTATGTAAAATTATTAATATAACACTGTAATAAATTAATAAACTAAAATTTAAAGCTTCTCCAGTTTTTTTGTTTGTACCAAATTCTAGTTAAATTAAATCGTTAATTCATAAATATTAAATTAATTATGAGTAAACTTCTCGAATACTGCAGTATTTTGTAAATAAACTATTTATGCCAAAAAAATTATAAATACAATTTTGACTTAAATTTTTATTAGTTTTTAAGATGCATATTAGTACCCGGATCTGTACTCAAAACTCGAGTTCCTTAAATTGGACTATTGTGCTTTTCATATATGTTAATCTAGATTCAAGGTCGTGTATATTTAATTTTGTAAATTTAGAGCACAAGACTAATCTAAGCTCTGCCATAATTGTCAGTTGGAATTATGAAGCTTTGTCACGGCAATAAACTTCCGCCATCCCAAGCAAATATGACAAAAAAGTTATATAATTACAAAAAATATGAAATAACATCAAATATTATAAATTCTTACTTGTTATTGAATAATTATAATCCAGATGGAGGTCACTAGCATCTGTGATATTGTACATTTTACAGGAACTTGGAGCTTCTATACCTTTATTATTGATTTCTCTGCAATATCGGATTGGATGATTCAATAAAATAATACAATATTAATAATTTGCATTCAGTTGAACTAAAACATTTTATTCTGTATTGGGCGCACTTTTGGGTCATAAATATGGTATATATGAGCACTATTCAATCCTTTTGGGATAACTTTAATAAAAATAAGTAAACAATTTAGAAACTTACTTTGGTAAAGTGAGATTCTTCCATTCGTCTATAGTATAATTTGTAAATTCTCTTCCGGGAACATGACACCAGTGATCTGGTACAGATAAGGCCAAAATAATATTCATACAAGGCATGGCTGCTACAATTGCAAATATTAGATTGTACAAATAATTGAATCTTTTCTGAAATGGTCCATTATTTCCAACGGACTGCATTACAGTGTCAAACATTGCATCTCGTTTCCCATTTTCAATAAATTTTCTAAAATAAACATACATGGAAAAGAATTATTTAAAATCCTGCAGAACATTGATTTTACTTGATGACAAGATTCTGGTCATTTATTTCATTCTAAAATTTCCAGGATAATGACTAAACATTCTATTGACTCAAACATGCAATTGTTGGAGATCAGGTCTCTTTTGGAGTCAAAAATGAGTGCATCACATATACATATTAGAACATGGCATTTTTACGAAAAATAAACTATACCTAAGATAGTAAGGACAATTAATGGATTGCCTTCTGATAACGATATTCTTAATAAGCAATGCTTAATGCATTCGGTTTGCTCTAAATAACAAACAAACAAAAAATACATTGAATCCAAATTGTTCAAATTTCATACTTTACCAAATATGAAGATATTTTGAACCTTTACCAGATATGAAGCAAAATTGCATATCTATTATAAATAAATATTTCAGTTCTGAAACTTCGGCAATATTACAATTCCAAAGCTTTCAGAACTGTCTGTTGTAATCTTAATAAAAATTTAACCATGATATCTTCAAATTATGAAGGACGTCGTTTTTACTATCATATAATTATTCAGATAAATCAACTGCATCGACATGTAATTCATGAACCATGATTCGAATACAATTGTGAGATAACGAAGTGATAATGGGAAATTATGAACTATCTGTTCTATCTGTTCAGGTAGTGTAAGTCATCAAAACATTGAACGTGATTTATATAATCTTATACACTGAATGATGAGAAAAATTTTGTAGCGATCACTTAGCATTTCTTCTGATTTGCTGAGAGTTTTCCTAAATTGTTACCATAAAGTTTACCATTATATCCTAGCGGTGTCGATCAAAAAATATATATATATATATATATATATATATATATAAATTCATATTATTTTCTATGAAAATACATTTTCTTGTTGCTGACTGCCTGATATCAATTTTCATAAATATAGATCGAAAATATGCTAAATATTAGTGAAAATATTAATTAAAAACATAAATATCGAACGACTATTGGACAAAACTAACCATCATTTTTTGCAAATTCAAACATATTGACATTACCTTAGTTGATATATTGCTGAAGTTGAAGATTATAGACCTACTACTTTTTAACTTGATTATTTTCTCAAACCCTATCGTATTTTTATTTCTGCTGTTACTAATTTCAATACACTATATAAAAATAATGCAACTCCTTGTATTTCAGTTATACCGGTTGAATTATTTCACAAAAATAAATTGTGTGAACTATTGTAACTTGTAAAGCTTTTATTCACTCGAAATATTTTTGAAGTTATTTTTTTTAATTATTGTAATTATTAAATTAAACAGTAGTAAATTATTGTATAAGAATAATTTGTATGCCTAAATTTAAACTACAATTAATTCTTATAATACACTTCACACAACTAAAATTGTTAGTAGAGATTGGTCTCACTAATCCACAACTCACAGAACATTACTCGCACAAATGGCACAACTGGAACAAGAATCTTGTCTTATTATTTGATGACACTCGGTATTAAATTATGTTCGGTCACGATAATTATATAAATTTCTTGAATAAAAATAGCATTTCTTTACATTTGATAACGAATATTCTGCAAATAAAAACAATCTGTGTGATTTAGTATTGTTTTATATTGCCGTGTAATAAACATGAATTTGTTTCGGTGCATTCATGTTTTATATTTTAATAATCTGCTCCGTTTTTTGTAATATGTATGCAACTAGTACGGCACGTTGACTTTGATAATAATAATGATTTAAATTACAGTAGTCATCATATTGGTCTTTTTATATAGATATAGATAAAATATTAATTTATGATAAGGTTTATTGCTTGTAAAGTTCTTAACTATACATATTCATATATTTTATAAAACAATTCAGTTTATTTTTGAATTCAGATCAAGCTATTCTGTTTTTTTTTTTTATTAACTTCCCTAAGGAAAAGTTTGTTTTTATCAAAAAATCCAAATTGCTAATTTTATGTTTTCTCGACGTTTCAAGCTATTCTGAATCGAATGAGACCGAATTTAGAAAAAGTATGTGTGTGTGTGTGCGTGTGTATATGCATGAATAGATTGTTTGCCGTAAATCGACGTTTTCTCAAAAACGGCTGGGCCGATTTCGAAAATTTAAAAGCCATTTGATGTATCTCAATAAGGACTAGCGTTTATCAATTTTACGCGACGATCAGCCAAGCCGTTTCTATGTAAATAGCAGAAAAGTGAAAAAATTTTAGAATTAAGTTTTACCTTTTTGTTAATGAGGTATCTAATGTAGTTTCCCTTTTGTGAGTTTTTTTAAAAGTAGTTAAGTAGATAAGTGAAAATTACTCTGACTTGCTTCCGAACTTTTTTCAAATTCCAATTCATTTGCAATAGATTGATCCACAATTTCAGACATATAGTAGTCAAAGACTTATTCACAAACATCATTATCAGACATCATAGATAATGAATTACAATTTTATTTAATACGAATAGTTTACATTAAATTCTTATCAGGGCTTGACAAACAACCCATGGTTTTTAATATTAAAATATCTATGTATTAATAGAATACACAAGAATAATAAAACTAACGTTTATTATTGGTCAGAATTGCCAATATACCTACTCCTTTTTCGTTAACACGGTTTTAAGAATAAAATACTTTTTACAAATACTTGCTTATATTATTTATTTTACTAATAAAATAATTTTACAAATACTAAATATATTGGAGAAATTAATATAATACATAACATTAATGGAATATCACTTTTTATATCTTACATAGGTGTCATGATATTGATTTGAATTTCTTAGAATAATTACATTCTAACAATAATTAATAACTATCTTATAAATAATTAAATTTAAGAACATTGGAAAGAAATTGGCTCTACTTATTTTCTAATAGTTAAATATTAATCATCACAAATCACTCAAAATATCCATAAGCATTCCTCATTTTCTCATAAATTTACATTTGTTTTTTAAGGATATGATATCTTCATTTTTTCATCTTGAAGAAGGATATCGTGATTATTTTTCTTTGGCAATGCCCCAAATTTTTGATCTGAACCAAAAACTTGGGCGTCGGCTAATGTTTCGGGTAGTTTCTGATGTAATGTTTCAGGTGAAAGTAATTGGGCAGTCAGTCAGTCCAATTAACATGAGTAAACTTAAGATCAGATATGGGTATCGAGCGTCGTAAGCAGTTCCCTGAAAGATTATAAGTCAAGTTATAATAAATGAATTTTAGTTACTAACATATAAACTATTGAAAATGGTGAAAAATCTAATTGCGAACGATTGCTTATTTCTAGGTCTTTTATTTTTACGCTGTTAGTGGGCATTTAAATAAGGTCTTCTGTAACTATGATTTATTTTATTAATTTTTGAACGGTAACCAGTTCGATTTTTGAAATTATTGCAGTAAAATCTCTTAACGCTATATTGGACTGGTGACTATTTGGCACTATATTTTCCAATGAAAACTGATATCACTACTGACTGATATCAGGGTATTCATAGTCCATATTTGAACTCATCGTTATAAAGTCAAACGCTTCGAGATTCTTTCCCCCAAATTTTAATGTTTGTGTGATTTGCCAATTATTATTTCGAGCTATTCAAGAATAAATGAATGTTCATTTACAGCCAGCTTTATCTCGATAATATGTAAATTATAATATCATTGTCAGTTGAAGATATTTAATTATCATTGAAGATTAATGAAGATTCAAACTTTTTTGCTTACTTACTTCAAAATAAAACAAAATTTTACAACTTTAATAATAATATTGTTTTATTACCAAGTATACGACATATGGTCCAAAAACTCCGAGAGCATTGCCTGATAGTACTCCCAAGGCAATCCCAGTTTGTCTCAAGCATGTTGGATAATTTCAACGCCTTGTACCATCATCACATAAAATGATGTGCTTATGCAGAATTTTATAAGCACTGTTAGAACACTAGTATAAATATGTAGTTCCGGATCTGGAATAGAGAAGGCATCTTAAAAAAAATACTTGTGTTCATTTAAAATAAAATAAGATATATCGACATATTACTTTACTGTTTGAGGTTAGTGC